CAATACCACGGATAGCGTTGCATTGAACAGGTAAAAGTTACACACTTTTCCTCCAAGATCTGGAGCAAGAACAGATACTCTCATCACTTCCATTCTACATACTGAATGTCCTAGACAGGGCAGGAGAAAAAAAACAGATTGAAAAGAAATTCAGCTATCCCTGTTTACATATAGTATCATTTCATATACAGAAAACCAATGATTCCACCGAAAACCTTTTGTGGAATACAAAACCAACATAAAAATCAGCAGTGTTTCTACACACTAAAAGCAAAGTATCTGAAAACCAAGCAAGACATCACATTTACAACTTATAGTTGTAGCAAAATAAAGTGAAAGACTTACGAATGAACTTAGCTATAACAGGGTAGGAGTTGTAGCTCATTGTTAGGGCACCTGTCTATCACAGAGAAGACCCTAGGCTGGATCCTAGCACCACACACACACATAAAAGTAGGTGACTGCCAAACATTGATGAAAGACACAAATAAATGTAAAGGTATACCATGTTCATGGATTAGAATCAAGAATATGGTTAAAGCTGGGTAGTGGTGGCAGCGGCGGCGGCGGCGCACTCCTTTCATCCCAGCACTCAGGAGGTAGAGCCAGGCAGATCTCTGTGAGTTTGAGGCCAGCCTGGTCTACAGAGCAAGATCCAGGATAGGCACCAAAAACTACACAGAGAAACCCTGTCTCGGAAAAAAACAAACAAAACAAAACAAAATTCAATCCCCAGAAGGAAGAGGAAGAATGCTGAAAGTTGTCCTCTGACCTCCACACACACACACACACACACACACACACACACACACACACACACACACACACACACACATATCATACACAGAATAACCAAGTCTTAAAAAGTACAATCAAGTACCTTCTGTTAGAATGACTCTGAAAATCACAAAAGATATCCACTAGTAAGGGCACAGAGAAAAAGCAAATCCTGTACACTGATGGTGGGACTGTGAATTAGTACAAGCACTGTAATACTACTATACAGGGTCCTGGAAATGAGAATGAGATCTTCCAGATGATCCAAAGGAAATAAAGCCAGTATGCTGAAGAGCACCTGTACTCCATGTTTACTGCAGCACTGTTCATACTAATCCAGACATGGAGTGGGCTTGAGCTCATCAAAGGACGAATAAAGAGAATATGGTATATGTACACATAGGATACCATTCCACCAATAAAAAGAAGTTTCTGTCATTTGTGACATTGATAAAAATGGAAGTTATTAAGCTAAATGAAATAAGTCAAGGACAGAAAGAAAGATACCATGAACTTACTTGTAATCTCATAGGAGAGCAAAGTAGAACAGAGGTCAGTTGAGGGAGAACAGGCTTGGGACATGTTGGAAGAGTAAAACAGAAGGAATACATGGAGTCTTCTGTAAAGCAATGGTGACTGTGGAATGAGGATATACTGCACTATTGAAAATGTTCACTGTGTACTGTTTTCACCACAAAAATAATGAGAGGCACTGTGTGTCAACCAGCCACATTTAAGGGATTGCACAACATACACATACTTTAACATGACAGCTTGTGCATGATAAATACATACAACTGTATAACAATTTTTAAAATGCAAATTTTAAAACAAAAGATGTTTGGTCTCTTACAAAATCTATGTTCTTATTTATGCTTATCAAAGGATGCTTTAGGCACACCTGAGTTTGATGTCAGGAGCCTTTGGCTGGAAGGACGGAAGGAGACTCCAAAGCTGCCCTCGTAACTTCTTCTGCACATGCACCATAAGGTATGAATACACATGGGAAGGGGCACATGCATGCCGTGCACACCCAAACATGCTTTCACTCAGACCTGGCTGCTGGAGATGCAGAGAGTTAAGTCTATTCTATCCTTCAACTAGTTAGCAGCTCTTTGGATTCTGAAAGACTAATGTTCTACCCTTTTGTAGACTGTTCCCTTGTTTTTCATTCACAAAACATAGCTCCGATAGTCACTTAGTCCTACTTAGGACCTACTACTATATACAAGGTTCCATGTTAAGTGGTAAAGACATAAATGAAAAACTCCAGCTTAGTGAGTCATAAGACAACTCACTGGTGTTCATGAAGCTCTAAGACCCACCCTCCTATGTAGGCAGGTACTTAAGGGCAAGACTTTTCAGTATGCTCATCTGTAGAACCTCAGGCCAAAAACAGAACATTTCAACTTAGGGACAACCAGAAAAAAAGAACATGACAAAACTATTATCCCTTGACCCGGCCTCTAAAGCACATGGTGTTCTGCCCAGCCAGCCAGACGACAGTGCCCATCTACAGTAGGACATCACTCCTGCCACACAAAGCCTCTGGGAGCAAACTCTGTATCTTTCTAAACAAAAACGGGACTTGGGCATTTTAGATCAGTTACAGGACAGCACTGAGTGCTCCTCTTTCTATATGCTTGCTGTAGGGGTGTGCTTTGTGTATTTTCTCACACAAACCTCACAGCTCTCCAAGGGAAGCATTGATCCCAACTTCACAGATGAGGAAACAGCTTTCAAGGCTAATTTACTCAACGTGACAGCTGGAACTCAGTAACAAGCTATTTGACTCCACATCCAGCCTCTTCAGCCACTGTGCAAAACTTTCAAATATCAATTTTCTTTTCCCCTTTTCTCTTCCCTTTCTTTCTTCCCTTTCCTTTCCTTCCTTTCCTTCCTTCCTTCCTTCCTTCCTTCCTTCCTTCCTTCCTTCCTTCCTTCCTTCCTTCCTTCCTTCCTTTGTGTAGCTTTGTGCCTTTCCTGGAACTCACTCTATAGGCCAGGCTGGCCTCAAACTCACAGATCCTCCTGCCTCTGCCTCCCAATTGCTGGGATGAAAGGCGTGCGCCGCCGCCGCCGCCGCCGCCGCCGCCGCCGCCACCACCCCCCAGCCCCTTTTTCTTTAAATGTACTTATTTTATGTGTGTGTGTTTGTGTGGGCACCAAGTGACAATCTGCAGGAGTCACAGTTCTCTCCTGTAGATGACACTGACCAAACTCTGGCAGTGAGGTTTGGTAGCAAGAGCCTTCACCTGTTGACCCCTCTCACTAACTGCCCCTTTGTTTGTTTGTTTGTTTGTTTGTTTGTTTGTTTGAAACATGGGCTCACTATGCAGCCCAGACTGTCCTGGAGTTCCTGATCCTCCTGCCTCAGCCTCGTGAGTCCTCAGATTAGAGGTGTGTACTACCTCAACATCAACTTTTCACTGTAATACAGTCACAATGTTTCCAGCAACTAAAGAAGTTAGAAGCGAGCCTAAAAGATACTAACCAGGACACACCTACATTGACTTTCGTGACTTCAAACCATAGCTCTATGTTATCTTTTCCCTCAAAACAAACTAACGAAACACCCAGACTCAGAACTCCCATTGCATAGGTGAATGCACCTGTTCCAAGAGATGCTTTTTCAGAGGACCGCCCATCTCTCTCTATGACACCTCCATACCACAGGCATTCAAAAACATCCTGAATGAACACAAACCTTAGTATAAAATGCTATTTATAAATGCCACCTGTCAGAAAAATGGTTGAGTAGAAAGCAGGAAGCTAAAGAAAAAACACAGACAGTAACTTCACTAATTCATAACACAACAGTGATCAGTGGTCATCTCCTGTACTCACGAAGGATACAACTTACGTATAATGTGCACCACTTGCCCAAATACCAATGGGGCTGATATTTGGAACCCCCAAAACACTCAACAGTGAACATGCAAGACTAAGCCACCAAAGAAATGATCTAATGTGGAAAGTAAATCCCCACCTTGTTCACACTCAGTACTTTCTGTACTTTCCACGACTTGGCCAGTAGTAAGACATCTTGCCTACCTCCTAGCCTCTACTGTGCTGGTTCCCACTAAGACATGTTCATTCCTGGAAGCAAGGCTTCTCGGGAACCGGGAGTTTTCTCTTTATATCCCCCAGTGATCTATGAGCATCTTGAATACACTTAGGGGACTGCTAATATGTAAAATAGTTGAAAGGGGGAGGCAATTTTCAGTGATAGGTACAGCATACTGAAGCACAAATCAAGGGCAGGCAACAATCTCCCCTTTAAGTCTACATTAGGTAGCCTTCTTTTGCGGACTTTTGTAAACATTTGTTTTTCTTAAAAGCAACTAAACAAACATAAACTTGCTACAGGGCTCTCATTGTTGTCAACAAAGCTTCAGTCCACACCAAAAGCAGTAATACACACAGGAGGCACACCTTGGAAGGATCACATAAGGCTGTAGTTACAGATGCTTATTTCAATCCCTAAACACCTAGGTCCCTAAAGGTATCGTAAAGGTTGAGTCTGGAGAGAATCCGGAAAGTTTTAGTCTCTTAAAAAGATGTTTTATAAATATGTGAAATCAGAGAACCACTTAATCCAAAGGCAAAACCCTCTTCTGTACTCCCAGGAAGTCTACTTTGAAATAAGTCAAGAAGTTACGTGGAGACATTCAGAATTCGCCCAAGATCCAGACCGATAACTCTCAAACTTATAGTTAAAGCTGGCAAACCCATCACCCATAACTCATCGTCTCGACAGTACCCTTTCCTACTCCCAAGGCTGCGACGACGGCGCATCGGCGTTTAAGTTCAATTTCCTGGCTCCGGCCACAATGCTAACCTAATTAAAGCATGTGGTCAACGTTCAGCATTTTCGGTGCGATATTTTGCATCCCTCTGGCTAGTACCCGAGTGGAGACAGCCGCACGGGCCCCCCGCGAGGCGACACCCTGTCCACCAGGCTCTAGCAAACGGGCAGGAAAAGCACCCCCGCGCCGCCCACGGACCCTGTCGCGCGCAGACACGGGCTCCCCTCGCCAGCAGCACTTTGGGCTGAGTCTGAGCAAGTCGTTCGTGTCAGCGCCACTTCCCCCCGGCCCGGCAACTCCGGCGCCCCCGCCCGCCGGCCGCCGCTCGCTCGGGGGGCTGGCGCACGCTTCCCGTCCAGCAAGAGGGGCACCGAGGCCCGCGGGCCGGGGGCGCCGCCGGGGGGAGGGGAGTACCTCGTACAGCTCCTCGGAGGCCATGGTGGGCGGCGCAGGGGCGCGGCGGGGTCGGGGCGCGGCACCCGGCGGCAGACACTTTGTTCCAGTTGGGTCCTTGCGTGGCCTGCGCTTCCTGCTCCGCGGCCGGCGCCGGGCGCAGTGCACGGACCAGCCTCTCGCTCCGGGCGGCCGGTGCGGGCCGGCGGCAGCGGGGTTGTGCGCAGGAGCAGCTGCGCAACGCGCCCTAGGCGCCCGCGCTCAGTGCCCGGCGGGCCGGCTGAGGCTCAGGCGCGGGCTCATCGCGCTCGCCAGGGGCCGGACGGGCTGGGGCGGGCGCGGCGGTCGTGCGGGCGGTGCGGCGGGATCCGCGGCGCCCGGTCTCCGGTGTAGTGCAAAAAGCTTCCTACTTGCGACCGAAAAACCTGCCCCGGCTACTGAGCATGCCCAGTGCTGCCGCCCGGCCCGGCGGAGCAGTACTCCCGCGCTCCGGGTTTTCGGGCCGCCCTCACGGGAGGGGCGGGAGGCGGCGGGGCGGGGCGGCCGAGGGGAGCACGGACTCCGTTCCGGGCCTGGGCGCGGGCGGCGGGCTGCAGGGAGCAAGCCGGCAGGAAGGGGAGGAGTCGGTTGGGGTGGGCGGGGCCGTGTAGGGTGGTGGGCGGAGCCAGCGGTTGTGGGCGGGGCTCCGAGTTGCCCAAGTCCCGTTCCCCGGGGTCGGCTTGGCCACGGCACCGCCCACCGGCCCTGCCTGGACGTGGGCGCTAGTTGCCCGGCAGAGGGCGGGACCGGGCGGCGCATGAGGGTCGTGGAGGATGACCGTGCCTGCTAGGGCAGGTAACCCAAGCCGAAGTTGAGCGTGAAGGAACCTGGCGGGCTGGTGGGCTCGCGTCTGGAGTCGCGACCCGACGGCGGCGGCCGCCGTGCTCTTAGCGCCTGTGACCGGGAGAGCGCAGTGTCTGCCTCCGTGCGCCCACAGCGGGCGCCGGCCGGGGACAGCGCCAGCAACCTAGGGGCCAGCGGTGTGGCCAGGTGGAGTCTCCCGCCCTGCCACGTGCCCGCCGCCCCCGTGGCCGCAGCCAAGACCCGGAGCCGGGACCGCGCGCCCCGCCGCGTGTCGCCAGCTGGGCCTCCTGCCGGGGTGGGATCTGGGCGCGGCCGTCTAGCTCTGCCCGCAGCTTCCCCACGCCAGGCCTCGGGTTCCTCCTGAAGTGTCCAGCTCCCCTTAAGGGGAGCGGAGAGGAGTGTTCCGAATGTGGACTCCAGGAGGTCTGCGTTCTAAAGGACCAAAGCTGTCAATGGTGACGCGTCTTGAGGGGACCGAGTAGACAACACTCCCTCTTCGTCTGCTGCAATGGGCTGGCCTTTCCTCATGTATAGGTGAGACGTGTAGAGTGGGCCCGGCCCGCAAGGTTCATCCACCGGGAAACTGGACGTTTCTTTGTCGTTGGGGAAGAAGGCTACCGGACCAGCTTCCCCAAATAGCCAACAACACAATGGAAAGACCCCTCGGGGCACTACGGATACTTTCTCCCTCTAAGCCCTACTGGAAGTCAACATCACTTCCCTCTGCTCCCAGTGCTTCCCTCTCCGGTCCTTAGAGCTCCACCCTAACCGACCTTCCCGACATTGGGCTCCTCATACCAGTTTTCTTAAAACCCAACTGGTTTGTGTACAACAGCATTCTAACAGCCACAAACGTCGAGAAGTTCCCAGCCTTCCCCATACCCAGGTTAAAAAACAACAACACACCAGCTCCTTGAGTGCCTGGCATTACAAACCCCAGGTCTTCGAGAGGGTGCCCGTGCTAGTGACTGCCATGCCTGCAAAGCCCTCTTAGACTCCTAGCACCGAAAGCGTGGTCTTCCGGACTTGTCTCCGGGGACTCCCAAAGCACTCAGTGCGTGCTCCAAGGCAGCGCTTATCAGTATATTTTAGTGTTATCCACTCATCTTCAAATTGGAACTTCCAGCCCTAGGCACTATCCTGTACATATGAAATAAGTTGATATTCAGTGAGCAGGAATTCCAGTGGCCAAAGAAAAGCATAATCAAATGCCTAAACAAGAACCACAAATTAAGGAGTCCTACTCATCAACTATTTGAGGCGCCTCAAGCTCCGCCTTTCCCAGGTAGCTCAGCCAATGCTGTCCCACCTCCTAACAGGCCGCCTTCTCACTTAGCAGTTTCTTTGTTTGCTTCACTGGAGGGTCACCTCGAGTCCTGCTAATTATTCAACATAATTGTTAAACTCCTCGAAGCTAAGAATTAGGACTTTGAACAAAAGCATCTCAAAGCCCTTGGCGCACTAACACCATGTCAAGTGCTCAAGTGATGACCAAACACCGTATAAACAAATTGAAAACAAACAACAACAAAAACAGGGATCCTCGACATACAATGAGCAGCTAACATCTCACATTCAAACCCATGTACATGAGTGGACACCAAAATAAGTATAAACATTTCTATTTCCACCACGCTCACACCAATCACTGCTACTTTCTGGACAGAATCTATTAACGATTTTCAAGGTGTTGCATCGTGTATTATCTCTAAAGAGCCTTCAATCCTATCCCTGTCCCAAGAAGGAGACAAGAGGATGGAGAGAGACATAGCGACCATAATCAGACTCTGGGCTAGTACATAGAGAGGAAACCTTCCCCGTGGTGGAAAAGACAGAATGGAGTGGAGGTGGGGGGAGGGATAAGAGCCTTAGTAGAGTCACCCAGAAAAGTTCACATTTGACAACATGGAAGATCTAAATTATGCTAGCCACAAGTAGTCCTCTACGTTGAAGGTGTAACCCCTGGTAGACTCTGCCAAATCGGGAGCAAGCCCTTCTAAACTCAGCATCAATTGCCCCTCCTCCAATGACTTGGTTTCCACGGCAGGAGACCAGCACTCAGGTTCTCAACTAGTGATCAAAAATCTCACCACATTTTCAACTGTCCATTTACCCCCTCTTTCCTGACCTCCTTGTTTCCCTCCGTTTACAACAACCACTGGATTATTAAATGCTATTTTGCATATATAGTTTACGTCATCAGTTGAATTTCTTACTTTCAAATGTTGCTTTCCTCCTCCACTTTTTAATATAAACATTTTATCAGTGCTTATAACAAAAGTAAATATGCTCAAGATCACTTTGTGGCTTTGAGTTTATACCATCTTTATGAAATAGTGCAGTTTTTACCCAAGTTACCAAGACCACGTGTGTGGGTGTGGAAGTACTTTGTGGATTAAGAAATCAAGTTCCCACACTCTTCAGAAAAACGGTACCAAAAATACATACCACACAGTAGTATCTTTAAAAGGTACGTAGTACATTAGTACACATGTGCACCTTACAAATCTTAAAAGGCTATGGAAGGGCCATCACGAGACAATGGACACACGTAATTAGAACACAGATCTGTGTGATAAGCTTCAACTCTTACCTGGCTTGAAGCAGCGGAGGAGATCCACACAGTCCATTTTACTCCTTCTCCAGAAACACACAAGCCAATACTCAAGTACTACTCTTCGGATCGGGCGCCATAGCTATTTTCCACCTCTGGAGAGCAATGACTGAACACAAAATTCAAGGTCTCCTCTTTCTCCCTTCCTTCTTCCTCAACAGCCAATGCAGGCGACAGCCGGTCCTATTCTCCCAATAATCTGCATTCCATCTACATTTGAATCCCAAGGCATGCTGGAGGAGATGGGGGATGGGACTTTAAAGACAAAAGAAGCCAAAATCAAGCACCAAAGGCTCTCTGAGCCAAAGGCATTTTCAGGATGGGTAGCTGTGAAAAGCTGCAGATCAAGATTGCCTACAGCAATTATGTACCCCAAAAGCATACTCCATCTTGGCTACGGCCTCAAAAGCTCAGAATTTAATTATGGATTTTATGAAGAAGGGACCTAGAGTTGGTTTGTTTAAACATAATGAGGCTAAAAGGAAATTAAATACTATTCTTGTTATAGGTTATCCATTTCACAAAACTAAGTGGAATTCCCATCTCTGTCACCTGCAGGGAGAGAGGAAAAAGCTCAAAATTAGGAAGAAAGCAAGATCAAGAGAAACGGGAAGCCAGGTGCTGTGTTCTCTACATCTGGAGCCAACCATTCTTTCCTGAAACCTCAAATTGTCTATACTAGTGCCTCTTTCAAGCCAACTACTGATTTTTCGTTGCGACCCCCACCCCCAGCTCCACTTCCTTCCTGACTGAGTAGTCAATCTCCCATTTCCACACCAGCTTCTCCTTCCCTTTCTCGCCAGGACCTAGCTGACACCTCTCCTTCCTGTCCAAGTACCACCATTTGTTTTTGTTTGTTGGTTTGTTTGTGTTTTTTGTTTTTTGTTCTAGAAAGGTCAGAAGTCTCAGGATTTCTTTGCGTTTGATTTCACCAATTTCCCTCTTAAACTGAGGAACCACCACCGTTCAGCTGGGCAATTTGCAAATAAGGGTCCCTCCCTCCCTCCCTCCTTCCTTCCTTCCTTCCTTCCCTTTCTTTTTCCTTTTTTTTTTTTTTTTTTTTTTTTTTTGGTTTTTCAAGACAGGGTTTCTCTGTGTTGTTTTAGTGCCTGTCCTGGATCTCACGCTGTAGACTAGGCTGGCCTCGAACTCACAGAGATTGGCTGGCTCTGCCTCCCAAGTGCTGGGATTAAAGGCGTGTGCCACCACCGCCCCCTTCCCTTTCTTTTTTTCTTGCAGTACTAGGGATTGAAACACTCTAGGCAAACATTGGACAACTGAGCTACATCCTCAACAAGGGTCATTTTTTTCAACTTACACGATGCTTTTGACTGCTCCCCCCCCCCTTTTTTTTGGCTTTGATTTTTTGAGACAGTTTCTCTTTGTAGCCTTAACTGTCCTGGAACTCACTCTGTACACCAGACTGGCCTCAAACTCACAGAGATCCGCCTGCCTCTGCCCCTCAAGTGCTGGGATTAAAAACGTGTGCCATCACCATTTCTCCTTTTTTTTTTTAAGCTCTTAGTGATTCACCGAAATTACTTTTATATTTTTATTAAATTATTCTAATCAAACAGAAGCAAGGAAGTTTTTTTTTTTTTGATTAATAGCAGTGTTCGATATCCCACCTTGAGAAAAGAGAAAAGACCCAAAATTACAACGAGCAGATAGCCAAAGGTAGCTCCATGGATATGTGGTTGACTTTATGCCAGAGCTAACTCATTTTAGATCATTGAAAAAGCAGCGAATAACTTTCTCATGAATTATTGTGATAATTAATTACATTTATCACTCAACTGAGACCACCCAGCAATCTCTAACCCTCAGAGAGGAGTGCCAGAGGACATTTCAGCTAATAAGTAAATTAAGAACAACTAGGTGGCCAAAAGTAACCGGAATCCAGACTTAGCCTAGGACCTGGGCAAGAATCAAATGAAAATGGAATCTAATGAAAAGAATAAGTAAATTTGGAGGTAAAGCTGGGGTCAGACAGCAATATGAAAATACAAGGTGGTACTTGGTGTGTTTGCTTCATATCACTCTTATTCTCAAGATGTGTCCTCAAACCATCACCAGCAGCAAAAACAGAAGCACCTTTGAACTTGTTAGAAGTGTGCACTCTCTGGGCTGG